TTACTGGACTGTCAAAAAAAATAAAACTGGACTGTCAAAAAAAATAAAACTGGACTGTCAAAAAAAATAAAACTGGACTGTCAAAAAAAATAAAACTGGACTGTCAAAAAAAATAAAACTGGACTGTCAAAAAAAATAAAACTGGACTGTCAAAAAAAATAAAACTGGACTGTCAAAAAAAATAAAACTGGACTGTCAAAAAATAAAACTGGACTGTCAAAAATTAAAACTGGACTGTCAAAAATTAAAACTGGACTGTGACCCTTCTGGGCCATCGTAAAGGGCAGCACTCAACCAAGATGCATTACAGGGGTAGTAGCCATTCTAAGCATTTTCTGTTTTCTGTTTTTTCTACATTTTATTATCTAGGGAGGGTTGATTATATATTATTACCTTACAGGATGTTCTATACAGGCCATTGGTGTAGCCAAGGGTGACACTATTCCAGACAGCAGCTTTTCAGCCTCGTCAGAATTTATTTCAGTATATGCAGCTAAATATGGACGCCTAAATAATACAAAGTCATGGGCACCAAGGGGGAACAATAATGTTAATGATTACCTTCAAATTGACCTGCTGTTTGAATATGTCATCTGTGCTGTAGCTACACAGGGAAATCCAAGGGCTAAGGAGTGGACAACAAAGTACAAGTTTCAATCATCCCTCATTAGTACAAACTTTGTCACCTATCAGGAAAACAATGCTGACAAGGTTGGTTTACATGAACTTCAAAGTTATTTTAAGTTAGACAAAAAGTTCACTTACAGTCAGTTTTTGCAGGACTGTAACACCATGTTTGTATTTACCTAGAGATTAGGTGAAGAAAATTAATTTGCTTTCTCAAGTCATTTCTTTCCTAAAGTGGCCACCTTTCTATAATAGCAGAGTAGCCATTTTCTTGACCCATTTCTAATCCTTGTTTTACACTATTACAACAAATATTTAATTTTGGACTGTATACATGAATGATGGTCATGTTTATGTACATAATATTATTAAAAAGCCAAAAGTAGCTCCTACAACACAGTGATTCAATTTTTTTCAGTTAAGAGGAGGGACACAGCAGATGTGTTTACTAGCTAGGTCAAGACTCAGCCTCAGTTATCTTTTAAGTGCATTACAAACTGTTTCTGGAACACCCATCGTTTATTCCAGCAAAAACAGTCAAACCTGTGTGCTTACTTTATTGCATACATGTAATTCTACAGTTCGCTTTCAGTATCCTGCATATATATTAACTTTTCATCATGTGGACTTTATTCTATAACCATTACCTCATAGCTTCACACTAATATGTGTTTTATCTCAAAAAATCAGGAAATGTTCTAAAGAACACAGAGGAAATATCAACTACTAGTATAAACTCATATTACCCACACAGAAATACTAGCAGTAATCTTTGTGTGCCCATTGAAAAGATTAAAAGGTTTAACAACAGAGCTATTAAGTGTCTGTGTAAAAGGAAAATAATTAAATTATGTCTGTTAATGTGATTTCCTTCTAACATTTATGGAAACATCATGAACAATTACAGTTTGCACTTGGGGCTGTGAATGCAAAATGTAGCTTTCGTTCAATTTAATCTTATAGATTATAGTTGAAACCCTAAATTGGTTGTTCAAACTATGTCTGATTAATCAGTTCAATTGTTTGTTTCGTCTACCTTTCCACTGTTATTATTCAGAACATTACATTAATCAGTTTTTTACACTTGAGGGAGTATATTTGATTTGTGTGGAATTAAGTCCATTCTTAAAAATCTTTACTTTTTTGTGTTTTGTTTGACCAATGCCTCTTAGAATCTCTTGCAAATTACATTTACCTCTCCCTCAAGTATCACCAAAAATGATATTTGAAGTTCTAAAGGATACATGGTCAGATAGTGATTTTGTCCTACTTTTTTTAACAAGTGGAAACAATGAGTCTTTCAATAATTATCATTACAGCCATTAGAGACATTTACTTTAACAAATCTTCAAATGGATCGTGGTTCAATCATTTGCCATCAGTTTTAAAGCTCAAAGTCTCTGTTTATGAAACAGCTGATACTTAAAGTTGTTAAGGATACAGTATATCAAAAAAATTAATGAAATAATTTCAAATTTTGCACCACCAACTATAGATCTTTGCTGGAAACTCTGATCAAAATACCGTTATAAAAAACAGTCTTCAGGAATTTGCAAGTGCAAAGTTTATCCGCTTTCAGCCGACAGCATATAGTGGCTATAAAGGTCTGAGAGTGGAAGTTTATGGAATACTTCTAACTAAAGGTATTTATTTGCTTTACTTGTGTTGGTATCCCCCCTAAGACAAAATTGTCTATTTACCAGAACTCTAGAAGGTCTGAGAATAAAAGTTTATGATCAGGAATAGTTCTAATTAAAGGGGACTATTTTGCTCTTATTTTGTCTCCTTTTGAGGTAAAAATGAGGTCACAATGACCAATCATCTGAACAAGGAAAGGATGCATGGGTAAATGAACTGAGCTAAGTCCGAGTTAAATACTCTCCAGTTATGAGTGTGCCTTGGTTGGATGAGTGTTTTTTGTAGTATTATTTTAGAGCTGCTCTTTAGAGAATTTGACTATGACCACATACAGTTGTATGTACATGAAATGTCACATTTCCTCTTCTGAGATACTGCCAGTTCACTTTTTGTTAAATTTAACAAAATTGAGAAAATGATTTATACCAGGTATATGATACAATGTGTTGGTGTAATATAATTTATAATATGCTGGATTCCGCTAACAAAATGCCAATCTTAAATTGTGTAGAAGATCCCTACTCTGATGATCCCTGAGTCACTGCTCGGATAAATATTTTATGTTATCTAAGTTCACATTGATGGTTCAGTCTTTGTTCCTTTTTTAACTTCACAAACAAATCAACATAAGAGTAAAGTACACATCTGCCTACGTTTATTTTAGTTCCATCCAAACCTCCTACTGATTTCAAGTTGACTGTGAGCTCTTCTACCAGCATTGTGGCTTCCTGGCAGTTACCACCATTTTTTGCCAGACATGGAAGGACCATAACTGGGTTTATACTGTTCTTCAAAAAGAAAAGTTCTGGTGTGCCAGTAACAAGTTTGAATGTAACAGATGAATCAACATTGAGTAGAAATGTCACTGGGCTTGATGAATACACAGAATATGAATTTCAAGTCCTGGCGTATACTTCTGATGGTAATGGACCAAAGAGCCCTGTTGAGGTGGAGAGAACAAATGAAGCTGGTATGTGATAGCTAAAGGTGGAAGAGAAAAAAGAATTGTCACATTTTTTGATGAAATAAATTGAATTGGACTTGGAGATTAAATAAGGAGAGAAATGATCCTTCCTGGTGTGCTACAATTTTAAGCAATTGTAGAAAGGAAGCCTGAAAAAATTCAGACTTCAATACGATTTGAACCCATGCCTCCCAGATACCAGATGGATGGGTTTCCTGGAAAAACCTGATCAAGGATCAACAGATCAACGGATCACCAGATCACCGGATCACCAGATCAGTTCAAAATAAATTTAATATATTAAATAAATTAATAGGCATGATTGATTGCTTATCTACATGACTCAGTCGAGATCTCTCGTTTTTTCTGCATTCTGTGCTTACTGGTGACAGAAGAAAAAAAAATTCTTCCTCATTTGTCGTCATCATGATGTACTTTCTTTAAAAAAAAAACCACGTACAACTAACAACTGATTTAATTCTCCAGTGTGTGATCACGAGATTTTAGACCAGTTGCCCCCTGTATACTCCAGGGAACTCACAACAACAACTCAGTGGGGCGATACAATTTTTTCACTTTCCAAATCACGTCTCTTGTCAAATCTCGTCGGAAAAACGACTAAAACGTCTTCTTCTGAGCAAATGATTCTTCAGATGCATTCTGTTAGGTCACCAAAAATTTCAAGAGATGAAGTTAAAGTACCAGCTGAAAATTTGCAGTTCAATCCAGCAGTTGCCAAAACCGGAAGTCAGAGGTGCAATCACCTATCGACACTCAGGATAACTTAGAAATTTCATGTGAATATAGCATATGCACAAGTAAACCCACTCTGTAGCTGTTGGTCTTCAATAGCAGTGCTAATAGTTGATAGCCAAAAACTGACACCTCCTCAAAGTGGTATGGCTTTTCAGTATTTAGTATTTTCTCTTATTTTCTCTTGTTTTCGCTGTAGCATACGAGAGATCTCGACCGAGTCACGTAGATGAGCATTCAATCATGCCTATTTATTTATTTAATGCATTTAATTTATTTTGAACTGATCCGGTGATCCAGTGATCCGATCATCCGGTCATCCGGTGATCCATTTGTTTGGTAGTAACATCTAACAGAACCGGTTAGTACTAAATTTATTCAATTGCAGCTCCATCACAAGCCCCAAGCAGCTTCAGTGTGAGTGCAGTTACATCTACAATTATCACAGCATCCTGGCAGTTACCACCAGTAGGTTCCAGAAATGGAATAATTAAAGGATTCAGACTGTTTTACAAAAAGAGAGGCACTAAGGGATCAACGACCATCTTGCCTATAAAGAATGGAACAGCATTAAGTACAGATGTCAGTGGGCTTGACATTTACACAGAATATGAATTTGAAGTGTTGGCCTTCACTTCAGCTGGTGATGGACCAAAGAGTTCTCCTGTAGTGGTCGTGAGATCCAGGAAAGATGGTAAGAATTCTGAAAAGGACTTTAACTGGTTTTTTAATTGAGTCTGGTGTAACAACACTGAAAAAAGTTACGAGCTAATCTTTGGATGAGAAAGCTTTGTAACAGAACTTTGAACTAGCCCAATTTTACATTCACAGTACCAAAGTTGGCTCTTTTGTGCTGTAAGTATTGAGGTCTTGTACTGTATTATTATAATACAGTAATTATACATGTTTGGCCAACTGATACCATGAAGGCATGATATGATTTTAAAATTTAAGTTAGAAGCTAAAAAACTTTGCTTTGGAGCAAAATTTATGATTTCCCTCTTTGAACATTCAATGCAATTGATGAAATACTAAATGAAAATGAAAGTTTTTTGAAAGCTGTGTATGTGGTGTGGGATGAGGTCAAGCATTTTTTTATGCATGGCCAATGAATGACACTTATTTAAGGGCTGACTTGAATGGTTGCTTTGCTTAAAATAATCGAAGACAACTGAGTTTGGGATATTTAGGGGCTAGCACTGTTTCCATTCAGGCCACATATGAAATTTGGCTCTCATAGCAGTGAAATCCTTGGAAAACAACCATGAGCCCTCACTCCAGGCCAACGGTCTTTCTTAGCTGACTACATGACTTTGTGCCTGTAGGTCTGATGCCTGGATGAATTTAGGACTGCCAGCAAATGATTGCTTCTAAACTGCTTGGGATCACAAAGATACATTGGTTGTAGCAAAGTTACAACATTCTTTTTGACCCTACATTGGAAGATTGTTGATGAGAAGAGTCAGCCAAATTGTGGCCATTCACTTTTTTTTAATTGTCATTTTACCTTAAATCTTTGTAGTGTTCATTATACTGATAAGTTTTCCCTGCTATTTGTGTTATAGTGCTTCAGATTATTTTTTAATGTGCAGGTTGTGTTGAGTTCAATCTTGGAATGGAGGATGGAAGAATTCCAGACAGTCGAATAAGTGCCTCTCCTTTCAGCACACCAGCCAAAAATGGTTGACGGAACTACATATCAGGATCATCATGGTGTGCAGGAACAAGTGCCACTAACCCATATCTACAGATTGATCTACAGACACCTCACTTCATCTGTGCTGTGTCTACTCAAGGGAATTCTAAAGGAGATCAGTGGGTGAAGACTTACAGACTACAGTTATCCACAGATGGGACAAATTGGGCAGACTACATGGAAGGTGGACAAGTCAAGGTGGAAAATACATTCTTTATCAGAAGCAATAATGTCAACAACAAGTGTTAGGGTTTCATTGCTGGGTTTTTTTTTCTTTTTCAGGTTTTGAGAGGTAATGATGATAGGAACTCAGAAGTGAAGCATGTTGTTTATGGAGTGTTAACAAGATATGTGCGATTCATGCCAAAAACTCACCAGGGTGGGGTGTGTATGAGAACAGAGGTATTTGGAGTGAAACAAAAGCCAAGTGAGTGTGAAACTTTTATGTACTACATTTAATTGTGCATGATTTCAGGAATATATATAAAAGCTCAACCTTTTTTCATTTTTTTTTAATTGTCACATTCTCCAGGAAAATGAAATTTTTATGAAAGGGAAAAACGAAGAAAAAATTACAGGTGTTTTTCTGTCTTTTTTATGTCAAAGAGAGTTTTCTAATTTAATGACCCCTGTTTGTCAGTCACGTGGTAGCTGGCCATTATACTCACTAATTATTTCATTAGTTCATGTTTGTCATGCCCAAAGCTATGAAGAGGTAAACATTTCGCTAAGATTTTATGCTTTGACATATATTGTAAAATGTAAACCATATATAGTGCTCCCTTCCACTTAACCATCAACTTATTTTTTTTGCACCAAAATTTAATTAGTGGCTGCTGTTTATGATTTGCGGTGAGGTGAAGTTTGAACCTCAAAGAAGCAGAGCTTAGAGTCCTGATGAAACTCTTGAATTTTGATATCTTCCAACTTCAACATTGTATGTATTCACTCAAGAGACAAATCCATCTAGAAGAGAAGTAGGGTGAGAAGAGGGAGGAATGTTCATATTTTTGGTCTCAGTGCCCAAGTGTACAGTTCATGTTAGTCAAAATGCACCAATTGTGTGATATTAACTGATTGCAATGAAGGTCAACCAAGATTTTGACAGTATGGACTAAGCATAGGAAGGGTTATATCTAAAAGGAGAAAGGCCTTTATTTCCTTAAGAAAATCTAAGCTTCCTGCTCACTGTAAATAACCCTCAGAACATTATGCCTTTAAGGCTTTTGGCCGGTTACAGCCCTTGTAACCAACTATGTACCAGTGGGTTGATACTGCTCAGACAAGGCCACATTGAAAGCTCTGAAAGTCACTTAATTGTACTTTTGTATCATATAATTATTATGGTGCAAAAGTTTAGAGACTTTTCAACACTTGTAGTTTGGTTACAAACTACAAGGTTACATTTTTAGCCATAATGCAACTGGCTCTTTCACAATCAGTGTTGTTCGTACTGTAGTACTGTGTTTATTTATCTCAAACGAACGTCGAAAACTCGAGCTCATACATTGGCCGCACCGCCTTGGTCAATGAAAGTGAAAGTAAGTAAGTAAGGTTTTCTGAAAATAACAAAACAAGGAAGGCATCAAACTCCAAATATCTGCCTGAACGACAAAAAAAAAACAAATATTAACTCACCGAACCGTTCGCTTAAGCCAACGAAAGACACTATAACGCCCTTTTTAAAACTCTCTTCAATGGATAAAAAACTAAACAAACATCTGCAAACCCGAGCACATGGCGATTCCAGCCAAAAGTCATGTGACTGGCAAAACCTCGGAATCCCAAGGGAGTCGGGAGTGACAAGTGTTATGCAGTAAAGCTAATTATGAATTTACTGTCAAGTGCTCAAGCATTCATTTTGAGTGAAAATCATTGTGAATTGAAGCTCACATGAAAAATTGAAAAAAGAACTGTTATATGTAACAGATAATTAAATTGTGGTGATTGAGATCCTTCAAACTGGAAAGATTTGAAGTTTCATAATAATTATTATTATACTTATCTTGCAGCTTGTGATATGAATGCTATAGGTTTGGAAGATGTTGGTAAAATTCCAGATAGCAGCTTCACAGCCTCGTCACATTTTAGTGTGGTATATGCAGCAAAAAATGGCAGACTGAATAACAGTAGAGCATGGGGGTCGAAGGATAACGTTGATGTTGATGACTACCTACAAATTGATCTGTTGTATGAGTATATTATCTGTGCCATAGCCACTCAAGGAAATCCAAAAAGTAATTCAGATGCACAAGACTGGACCACATATTACAAGATTGGTTTATCACTAAATGATACCACTTTTTACACCTACAAAGAAAACAATAATGTGAAGGTTGGTCTATGTGAAGGTCATGAACATAATTAATGCTTAAATTTATATCTGGTGCAGTACGTTATTAAATTTTCTGAGTCTATAGGTTTCATGGGGTTTGTTTCCTTTTTGAAAATTTCAGTTTTGATGAGAAGTTTTGTCTTTTAACTGATTGTAAACTTAAAAAGCTCAAGTGGATCATGCATTTCACACCTCATTTCCACAATTCTCGATAATTCAAAGTGATGCCCAGTTATATTATATAGGTTAATTTAAAGGAGGCACTCCCATCAACACATTTAAGCTCCCGTAAGAGACAGGAGGATAATATTACAATTTGTCAAATATGTTCCCTGCAAACAGTTAATTCTTTTTATGGGCACACCAGTGTTTGTAATAACCATACAATTTATACTTAACTAGTGTGGACTAGTTTGATTTAGGAATAACACTTTTTTCGATCAGTGACCTGGTTAACTTAGCATCTTTGATTAATGGATCTTTTCCCTTTTCTCCATGTGATATTACAATGAAGGCATGACTGTTTTAATGATTTTGAAGGACTTAAGAGATAATCTGTGTTGTTATCTGTAGGTGCCCCCCCCCCAGCTGTGGAACTGTCTTTCCTGTCAGATCAATTGTAGTTAGTACCTTTAGGTGACCGTCTATGAAAACTTTTCTTTTTGAACGCTATTATGTATTGTAGGTTATTTTAAGTTTTGTTATATTTTTATCATTGTGAAGCGCTTCAGAAACTTCGAATTATCTAGATAACTTTCCTCCTTATTCCAGCAACTTAATACTATAATTTACATACTTCAAAAACAGGTAAAAATACAATCCTAAAGATAAATTACAATCAGGATAAATTTCATTGGTGCATGTGTGCAGGCAGGAAAACCAAGTTTATTTCAAAATGCTAGTAGCATCATTCTCTGTCATAAATTAAAAGTTGATGTTCATGGATCAAGTGTTGATTATTGTGGTTAGTGATGCATTATTCTAATTAAAATATGTGAAAATAGAGGTCTCTTTTTGTGCTACCAACTCTAGGTTTTTCCTGGAAACACAGACAAAGACAGCATCGTAAAAAACAGTCTAAATGAATCCTCAAGTGCAAGATACATCCGCCTCGTGCCAACACAACAACATCGCCATAAAATTTTGAGAGTGGAGGTATATGGAATACTTCTAAGTAAAGGTAACTATTTGAACACTTTTCTGCTTGAGATCTACATAATCAAAGTATTATTATGGAAGCAATTTGCCAATAAAAAGCTAAGTATCCCTCAATGGTTACTGATTCTGATTAACGGACTCGGTAAAGTTTTAGAAAAAACCAGGAAAGATTTATTACTCGACGTTTCGGGGTCATCATGACTCCATTATCAAGAGACTAGTTTAAAAACATGCAAATAAGGAAAGGTACAAGAATAGCATAAATTAGACTGAACGGCTTAAACAAACACCTTGGCGCGGATGGAATCCGTTTGCACGTTCAGTGTTGGCTTACGCATGCGAATATACAACATTTCATTAACAAGGCAATCAAATTTGCCGTTACATTTCGTGATGACGTTGAATTGCTCGATCAAGCGTTCAGGCATTTCACTATTGTGCTGGAGGTGGTAGTGTTTGTAGATAGAAGATGATTTCCTTNTTGATCAGCAGGGATTTGCTAAAGCAAAGGCATAGAAAAAACCAGGAAAGATTTATTACTCGACGTTTCGGGGTCATCATGACTCCATTATCAAGAGACTAGTTTAAAAACATGCAAATAAGGAAAGGTACAAGAATAGCATAAATTAGACTGAACGGCTTAAACAAACACCTTGGCGCGGATGGAATCCGTTTGCACGTTCAGTGTTGGCTTACGCATGCGAATATACAACATTTCATTAACAAGGCAATCAAATTTGCCGTTACATTTCGTGATGACGTTGAATTGCTCGATCAAGCGTTCAGGCATTTCACTATTGTGCTGGAGGTGGTAGTGTTTGTAGTAAGCCAACACTGAACGTGCAAACGGATTCCATCCGCGCCAAGGTGTTTGTTTAAGCCGTTCAGTCTAATTTATGCTATTCTTGTACCTTTCCTTATTTGCATGTTTTTAAACTAGTCTCTTGATAATGGAGTCATGATGACCCCGAAACGTCGAGTAATAAATCTTTCCTGGTTTTTTCTATGCCTTTGCTTTAGCAAATCCCTGCTGATCAAGGGTAAAGTTTTAGAGCTGGAAATGAGAAAATTTTGCAATCAACACCTCACAGATATTGATGCAGTTTAACCCAAAATATTTCATCCACTATGCTTTGATTCTGTGTATTAGTGACAGACTGCCCATGAATACACTGCACATGAAGCTAATGATGCCATGATATGATCACAAAATAATTTACCTTCCCAGTTGAGCTGAATTGTATGATATTAAAAGCAAGTTTGATTTTAAGAAAGCAATTCTTCTGAATATAAGAGTTTTAATACTCTCCAATGAAGACTGAGCCTTGGTTGGATGATATTTTTTTGGGTATAATTTTAGACCTGACCCATCAGATAATTTAATATTATGACCACCTTACTTTCTTGGTTTAACCTGAAATGTCACATTCATGCACTCTTCTGGGATCTTACAGGTTCTCATTTTGTTGACTTAATTGAAGTTGGGCATATTGTATTACTTATGCCAGGTATGATACGGTATTTGTGCCATTGTGGGATCCAGTCAGTCAATCTAATATTGTGTTAAGGATCTTCGCACCTAATACCTTCATAAAGAATGAACATATTGTAGGCACACAGCCCCCTACTCCCAATGATCCCCAAGTCACTGCTCTGACAAACATCTAAAGCTATCTACGCTCACTCTGGTGGTCTATTTCTGGCATTTTTTTCATTTTTAGTGCCTTCACAACCCCCTACTGCCTTCAAGTTGACTGCAATTTCTTCTACCAGCATTACAGCTTCCTGGCAGTTACCACCAGTCTTTGCCTGGCATGGAAGAACCATCACAGGGTTTAAATTGTTCTACAAAAAGGTTTATGGTAGGTCAGCAGCAACCTTGACTATAATAAGCAGTGGATCAATACTAAGTAGAAATGTCACTGGGCTTGATAAGTACACAGAATATGAATTTCAAGTCCTGGCATATTCATCTGATGGTGATGGACCAAAGAGCCTTGTTGAGGTGGAGACAACAAAGGGAGATGGTATGTGATAGATAGAGAACAAAATAATTAGCCAAATAGAAGAAAGATCCACCTGTTTTATACGAGTTCTCCAGCTCTCCTACCATATTTTGTTGACGTTTTCCTCTCTCGTTGCCGTGAATACCAAAATGTTTGAATTTTAATTCATACTAAATGATATCCTCTGAAAGAATTAATCCCCCTTAGTTAATATATTTATGTGCCTTTGGTGCTATGTTTCTAAGCCAATTGTGGAATATCTGGGCTTTTAAGTGCTTTTCATTTGGTGAAAGAGAAAATGTGATCATAATTTTCAATTAGATAAAATTTTTATTGTATCTGCAAATGAAAATCAAACAAAGAAATGATCCTCACATTTGCAGAAAAGAAGCCTGAAAAATTTTAGGCTTTGACAGGATTCAAACACGTGCCTCTCAGCGCTACGTAGTATAAGCGAGGTTTGGTAAATGTAAGATGCGTATTGTGATGGCTTCTTTGCTTAAAGTAATGGAAGACAATCACTTGGTATATCTAGAGGCCTCCACTTTGTCCAGTTCCCAAGCCCCAGCCATCAAAATTAATCTCTTAAAAACAGGCATGAGCCCCTATTTCAGGCCAGGGGTCTGTTTTGTGTAATGTTTCCAATCTTTTATTTTATTTCTTTTTCAATTTATAGGAGAGTGTGTTGAGTTTGATCTAGGAATGGAGAGTGGAAAAATTCCAGACAGTAGAATAAGTGCTTCTTCTTCCAACACACCAGCCAAGAGTGGTCGACTAAACTACGCATTGGGAGCATCATGGTGTGCAGAAACAAATGACACTAACCCATATCTACAGATTGATCTACAGACACTTCATATCATCTGTGCTGTGTCCACTCAAGGGAATTCTCGGGCAGATCAGTGGGTGAAGACCTACAAACTACAATTATCCACAGATGGGACAGCTTGGACGGAGTATAGGGAAGGCGGACAGGTCAAGGTATGACACGTGGACTGGTTGAGAATCATATCATATCTTGCCTTAATCACTGTGCATGTGGCTATGATAATGGTGAGGTATTTATCTCTCTATGGCCACCAAAGGATATCTCGATGTATTACACAACAAAAGGAGAGGAGTAAATGTTGTTACTTCATTTGGCTAGTAAATCTTCAACAATAATTCTGCCCTGAATATTGTGAATTTTGGCATGTCGAATGAATAGTTTTTCATACAGTAATTGGTATTTTGCAAGTGTAAATTTTCTGTCAGGCGGGGGAGGAGGGGAGAGAAATCATCCACCAGTGTGCCCGTCCACCTGGTAGGGTGGACAGGCACACTGGTCCTCATCCATCTCCTAAATCTCTCACATGCTGGCTCCAAGCGCCACACCCTGGCATGCCGAAATCATCCATCCAGTGAGAAATCCATCCAGTGAGAAATCATCCATCCAGTGTGCCCGTCCACCTGGTAGGGTGGACGGGCACACTGGTCCTCATCCATCTCCTAAATCTCTCACGTGCTGGCTCCAAGCGCCACACCCTGGCACACCGCCTCAGCTGGCGGGCTAAATCACGTGAGGGGGTGATGTTTACACTGCATCACTACTAGGCGGAGGAGCTGCTACAGGCAGCCAACGGCTAGAAGGCGGAGGAAACCTGAAGATCCAATGGCCATGTGTAGGGGAGTAAACCCTTCAAATCAGGAGTGGAGCCCCGAAGGCGGACCAGCGTGTAGTGCTCACTGACTCCGGCAGCTCCTGCAGCCAACCTGGTGCCAAGCGTACTGCTCTGCATTCCTTTGGACTACACCGGCGAGGCCGAGAGGGGGGTCCTGTCGACTGGGCAACCCAGGATCTCCACACACTCCGCCCAGGCTTGCGCCCTGGAGAGGTCACTCCAGTGCCGCTGTTCCAGCGACAGAAATAACACGGGAGACAGCAGATACCGGTTATAAGCCCAGAGCGTATTGGCGTGAGCTCGGACGCCAGGGGCTGTCTCCGACGGTGGGAGGGATCTTCGCGTCCCACTGGTCAGCTATCGCCCGCCTCAAGCTGGGCAGCCCCCAGCCAGTAAGGTGCTGACCCGTCACAGTCTGCCTGCTTCAATGGGTGCTTGGAGCTAAGGTCAACACCGAAGAGCGGACTGTAAATCCCGCACCAGACAAAAGAAGAAGAAAGACATCAAAGCCGCCAGCGCTGAGACTGGCAACTTGGAATGTCAGGACCATGTGCCCTGGCCTCTCCGACGATCTCCAGCAGATCGATGATGCAAGGAAGACAGCAGTCATCAGCCGAGAGCTCAAGAGGCTCAACATTGACATAGCAGCACTGCAGGAAACTAGACTCCCATCCAACGGCAGCCTGAAAGAGGAGGACTATACTTTCTTCTGGCAGGGTAAAGCTCCAGAGGAGCATCGTGTGCATGGTGTAGGCTTTGCGGTTAGGAACTCCCTACTGCCCTCAGT